GGCACGCCGTCTCCCGCTCAACCGCATTGTCCACCCGCAATTTCGTATCACGCCCGCCGCATCAACATTTCCTCTCTCGCATCATCATCGCGCATCCTATCGGACGCTTATGCTTTTCCCTTCTCTCATATGGACATGGCTATTCCATGCACTCCCTATTCCTCATTGGTATCATATGAGAACCTGGCACAGGTTCTGAAGGGGGAGAATGTAACGGATCGTTCATTATCTTATCTTATCTACGTAGTTAATCTACATCTTGTATCTACATCTGGATCGTCATGGTGATCGGCGCTGATCCATCTGGATCCGCGCGACGTGGCGAAGGCTTCTGAGCCTTTCACCACGTCCACCATAGTATACGCCCTCTCAATCTAGAGATTGGTTCAGTGTACTTCGGACTTGTGTGAATCAGGCGACACCCGTAAACATTACAATCGTGGAATCATCGGAGGCCGTCGCTACCCATCGCCCGTCTGGGGAGACGACCAGTGCAGTGACTTCCGAGTCATGCCCGGGTCTTCCAGCTACGCAAGTCAACCTCTAGCTTAGCACCATGGTTGGTGAGTAAAACTCACAGTATCTGGGCTCTTCTTCCAGCGACCAGTGCTCACTTGTTTTGGAAAGGCACCCTTTGAATTCCTCCATTCCAGAGATTGTCTTCCGCATGTTCAAGCGAAGGCCACGTTCAACTGTGAGTACCACACGATGGGCGGGGTACTTGCTGAGGATCTTTTCCAATGCGCCATAAAGCTCCAGGTTTTCTGGTCTACGGCATTCGCGATATAGGTTCCCAGTGTTATCCTGCCAGAGGTACGCAGTAACGGTGCTGATCTTCATTGCTACTGGACCCGCCAAGGTTTCCACAGCGCGTTTGATCCCCTCTGTAGAAGCATATATCCGCAATGTGAACGAGACCTCAAGGGTCCCGTCTGATAAATGAGGGAGTGTGGGCGATGTTTCTAGTATGTGCGATGAGATTGCAGGGATTGTGAGAAGAATTGAAATACGAACGATGACGGTTGAGGGTTGGAAGCGAAGCGGGAGTCATCGGTGGACCTATCCCGAGCAATGATTTCGCGATCGTGTCGTTTACGCGGAGAACTATCTGTCGGAAGAGGAGTCGAAGTCACAATCGAGAGAAAACACGGAGACAACCATAACAACACTCACAGTCAACGTTCTCAGACGCAGTTGGCGAGACAGACTCTTTTACACCAATGGGCTCGCTTCGCCTCCTTGATATATGTTCAGCTGATCGCATGTGAGGTGTTCGATGCCCGGGAATGCGGCAAGGAACTGGAGGAAAGCATTGCAAGTCGAGAATTCGACCCATTTGATAGTCAGGCTCCGAATCCCACATCCGAATCGCCTGCAGCAGAGTAGAGTGGAAGGGTGGCATCGTATTGGACTATCATAGCTCCACAATTCTATATGACGAAGAGCAGGCAGAATGGACAGCAGATGGTATGGCGCAAAGTGGTCCCATTGAATCGACAGAGATTGCACGAAAGGCTGACGCTCGGGCTTCGCCTTGAGCACGTCGCAGAGATCAAAGAGCCGATCCCTGTTTCGGAGGCGGACTTCCGTGAATAGGACGAGGATGCTACGAGGATAGAGGTCGCGGCAGGTGAGAGCGAAGGCAAGCAGTGTGATCGTGTGATCGGAGCAGCGGTCGATGACGCCCTTGATGACCTCCACTGGGAGCGCGAGGGACTGCATGGTGGGCGGATTCGAGGGCGAGGGATGCGAGGAGTTCGGGCGGTCGTTGTTGGGAAACATGATGCGTCGAGAGCGAGTGATGCTGGTGCGGAACGATGAGCTCGAGAGGGACTAGGCCTAGGGACGAGTAAGACAGCGTCTTTTGATCAGGCTGTGCCCATGGGGCGCAGTTTCTGAGTTTGACAGAGAAGACTTCGCATCCAAAATATGGACTCCGCACTTGACTGCATCGGTAGCAAGAAGTCACCGCGTTCAAGCACCTTCTGGTTCAAGCGTGTGTACGTCAGACAGTATCAGCGAGTACCAGCTAGTCATAGGGATGTGAATAGATAAGGGACTGTAATATGCGTGTGAACACAAATATATACAAATGACTATAAATGGATTGTGACATCACGCGTACTGCACGTGGCAAGCGCGTCGCGTCGTCGCGCCTTAAACAGTATGTGAGTAGCCTTACATGGTCAACGTACTAACATCCATTCGATCGTCGACTTTAGGGTCTAGTTGAGGCCCGTGAGTCCACGTGAATAGATCAAGGCATCTCATCCATACCTAACGGTATCCTAGCAATTTAGTCAAGCCAAGGTGTCGCGACCCCTAAATAGATTCAAGTTGGTCGATGTACTGACATTTGTTTCAATCTCAACTCAGTCCCATTGTCGCTCCCTAGCAACATTCTCGAACAGCTTGATTGCCACAAGCCATAATTGACGGTCAGCTCGCATCTTGGTATCGGGGGAGACTTTGGGATATATAGTACTTACGGAGCTGAAATTTTGACGTCGCAGTACACAGATTCTCTTCTTTCCCCTCGTACTAGACTAGCTCGCGCTATCAGGCATCTCAAGGTCCCCCTCAGTCTATCTCCACACCCCTGCCTCGTCCGTTTCGTCATCCTCACCTCAATCTATCCACCTCATGGCAACGCCTGCTCGTAAACGCCACACATTGTGCGTTTGTGCGCTATGCAAATCGCTCGATCCCATCGGCCAATGGATCCCGACAACGACGGCCTTGAACCATCAGATGATGGCGCGGAGGATGGAATCTCAGGCGTATCAGCGCGGACGGGGTCGAGGAACCATGACGGGATCTCGCGCCCGCGGTGCGATGCCACGAGGCGGTCGGAGTGCTACAACATCACGAGGTGGCCGCGGTGCCCCGCCCGCCCGATCAGGTCCTGTCCCCACCAACTCTAGCATCTCGGCCAGTGTACCTATGAAGCGTGCACGAACCCCGTCCCCCCCCACCACATATGCCAGGCATGAAGCCTTGGACTCGCTTTCGACGCGTTTTGATCGGCTCGGTCCAGTCGATTTCGACTACCCGTTTGATGACCCGGTCGGCCGGGTTGACGACGAGGACTTGCGAGACAGGCAGATGGTAAGTTATTAGTCATTATATGCGTTGTTACGAACTTTTTTTCTGATCTTATTTCTATAGCCTAGTAATCCCCACAGCACCGATAGCGATGTTCCTATGGAAGACGCGCAAATGCGCCAGCTCCCTGGCTGTGTACAGGCCCTGATATGTGATGAGAGCACCCAGCTCGACAGCTCGGACGCTCAGCCTCTGGAGGATCCATTTCAGCCCGCGCGTTCCCTTGGTCTCTACGATGACCCGGATGACCTGGACGCTCTGCAGCTCCTTGCGGACGATCTATGTCCGCAACAGGTCGAAGTGGAGCGGGAGGAAGACGACATCACTTCTGTGTCTATCGGCGCTGATGCAGGTCTCTCGAACCTCTCACAGCCAACCACCGGTCCCCACGACGCCAGCCAATCTCATGCCTCAGCTGAGGAATCCGGGACTGTGACGCCTGCGATGTCTACTGGGAACAACCTTGGGCCTTGTCCTGGCATCTCCGAGCCTGTGCACCCGATGTTCGCGCGCGCGTGTGAGCTCCCTATAATCCCCCCTCCTCTGCCTGCTTCAGAGGTCTATGCCTCAGCCCATAGCTTGTGGTATGTTCGGTCAATCCTCCTCCTGGTTGTCTTCCTGCACACCCACCACCATGTCACCTTTCGTGCATGCAACATCACCCTGTCGACACTCCGGTTCATATTCCTCGCCCTTAAGCTGGTTGATAACGCCGATCCCATGCCTACAACACTTACAACGGCGCTGAAGCGGCTTGATCTCACCGACCGGTTCCACGTTCTCATCGAATGTCCGCAATGTCGACGCCTCTTCAAACCTGACCTCGTGAACCAGCACATCAAATGCCCAGAATGCGACACCCCCCTCTTCAGCCAGGGGCCGCGGAACGTGCTATTACGTCTCATCGGACGTCCTCCCCCTACACCCATTCCAAAGGCCGTGACGCCTTTTCGACTGCTCTCTTCCGCCCTCGTGCACCTATTGCGTCAGCCGGGCATCGAGCGGGAACTGGATGCGTGGCGCTACAAACCTCCCCCCCCTCCTGGCGTATTTCGCTCCATCCAGGATGGTCGTCGGTGGAAATCTCTCAAGGGGGCTGATGGCCAGCCATTCTTCGGGCCTCAAGGAGGACATGAGTTGCGCATAGCAGTAATTCTCCACATCGATTGGTGAGTTCGTTTCCAGAGTGATCGAGATCGCGGATGCTCAGCATGGTTATCGTCTCGACATGATTGTGATCACTTCTTCAACAGGTTTTCGGCATCTTCGAGCGCTTTCAGTGCGTCGTACTCATCAGGCGCCATATCGTTCTCCATTCCCAACCTGCCGCCGGTGCTACGGTGCGTGGATCTTTGAGTACATCGCTCGTGATATACTCTAACAGTGACGACAGGTATCGTGTGGAGAACCTCATTCTGAGCGCGATGACTGATGGTCCCAAGGAGCCTGACGCGGAGGAATTACAGCATTGGCTCGAGCTGGTCGTCGATGACCTGCTCGTGCTCTTCTACCTAGGCATATTTGCCCCGACTGAGTCACGCAAGGAGGGTATGTCAAGGTGTGCACGCAAAACTAGACACCTTTCGCTGAAACCATTTTGTAGGCCGACGCATGCGGGTTGCACTCGTCTGCACGTGTGCTGATCATCCCGCCATGTGCAAGGCAGGTGGCTTTGCGGACAAGAGCCACACGAAGGCGCCATGCACTCAGGGACTCGTTGACACGAAAAATATGTATTCTGATGAATGTCTAAATGGAGGTATGTTTGTGTTCGCAGTTTGAGAGAGTCATTCCTTGTGTTGGTCTCATAGCAGTCAGCGGGGCTGCCTTCCTGCCGCGCCGTGCCTCCACCTCCATCTCCGCTCCTAGCTTCTCACTTGCCTCTCAGTCTGCTTCAACTATCTTGAGCACTAGGTACATCTGCATCGACCCCAGCTAACTCATATTTTGCTAGGATGTCCACCTAGAAGTGCGGAAGTGCACGTTGCTCGGGCACGAGCATGGCAGTCGCTTGAAGACAAGAAAGAGCGCGACGAATACTTCAAGCAGCATGGGTCGCGTTGGTCTGAACTCATGAGACTGCCGTACTACGACTGTGTTGCTATGACGGTCATAGACCCGATGCACAACCTGTTACTGGGCAAGACGGGTTTGCTTTGATCATATGTATGTGGTCTTGCTAACGAAACGACATACAGGTGTTGTAAAAAATCAGTGGTACTCACGCTGGATCAAGAGCGGCACATTGCGTGCTGATACCAAGGCAGGCACCAAGCGCGAACTGTCTGTGTTGCATCGATTTTTTGATACGGTGAGCAAGCTTGTCTGTCAAAATGTCGGAGTCAGTGATGCTTCCATTCCTTAGTTCGAGGCTCCCGAGTGGGCGGGTCGCCTTCCTCTGCGCGTGGGCGAGCCCGCTGGCGGCTCTCTCACTGCAGACGAGTATAAGTTGTTGATTGTTTGCCCAGGCATGATAATTGTAAGTCGTGATGTTAACGGACGTACCCTGGTTTCGAATGCGAAAATGAACGCAGTGGAGTTCTCGCTCGCTTTCGTGATGGTTTCCTTGCTGACTACTATGATGCGTAGCTGCCATTGATCTGGGATCAGTGCATACAAGAAGCTGTGAAGGACTACGAAGCGGCATGCAAGAAGTATGACGTGACATTGCGCAAACACAAGGATGCCGCCGCAAAGCACGAAGCCAGTTTGCAAGCCCTTCGCACCCAGGTGGCATCCCCCAACCTCGATCCGAGGGAGCGCACCAAAGTGGACAAGAAGATTAAAGAACTGACCGCCAAGGCTCCGAATCCGCCGCTTGAACCGGCCCCGCGCATGCAGGAGGCCGAGGTCCCGCTTATGTTGTCTCTCGGGGGAGCACTTAAGCTTCTCTTAGCGAGCCCAACATCGGCGTCGGATCGTCAGCGTGGGGCACATCTCCTCTTCTCGTACCTGCAACAATACAAGCGTGTATGTATATGACGATGTGCATGCGGTCGCAAATGTGTTGATGTCTACTCTCTCTTGGTTTTTTTGGTCGTGCTTTCACTCCGACTTCTTAATCCTCCCATGCAACGTCATCGCTAATCGTCTTCACAGATATATGGGCTGCAGGCAATGGTCCCAAACCATCACTTTGCGACGCACATTCCATCACAGCTCGAAGAATACGGCACAGTGTATGAAATATGGGCTTTCCTTGCAGAGCGCCTCAACAAAACCCTCAAGAGTACCAACCAGAACAACCGACGTGGTGGCCAGCAAGAGGTCACCATGATGCGCGAATTTGATCGGCATATGCAAGTCCGGGCTATCGTACTAACCTTTTTGTTCCCCGTGCAGATGGGCTATTGATGTAACGCGTCTTTCACAGGTCGAACATGTATCGACGCTGTCGCCGGATGGTACCAATGAGGTGGACGTATCGCGTTCAATAGCCCAACGATTCCTCCATGAGTCGCGTGAGGCTCGCGGAACCGTTGAGGCTATAGGAGCCGGGCAAGCTCACGAGACCGCAGTTCAACATGACGGTATTTTTCCTTTTCTTCCAACACTTAACACTCATCAATGCTGCTCATAGTTTTTTGCCTCACGGCGATCGGACTTGGTGTGCGCTCAGCCCGAGCCGTCCAAGTCGACATGCCACTTTGTGATGCCATCCTTAGGTGGTACACGCAAAATCGAGCCGGCGCTCCTGAACATCATTTATACCATGCGTACGATTGCAATGCTCCCCCCGGTGCAACATTTCTTGACCCCACAGCGCACACACTGAGCTACATTATCCTCGATGGCCGGCGCATCACTCCGAGGACGTCTTCAGGTATAGTCAAGGTGTCGCTGCCACAGCACCCTTACTTGGCAGGCGACGTGGCGCGCCTACTGATTCATCAGCAACCGGGCCATTCCTCCCCAGCTGTATTTGCTGAGGTGTTGTGGCTCGTTCCTCAAGACATTGAGCAAGTTGCAAACAACCCCTGGCGAGATTAGTATGTTTTTTGTTACCTATCAGATCCCCGGCGATGAGACTCATCTTTGGCACTTATCAATGAGTCCAGAACTCGATGTCCGGTGCTGGAAGTATCGTGAGCATATGCCGAGTGGTGGTCCTACAGGACTTCCACCGTTGATCCCTGTGACTGCCATTCGATGCCAGCTTGCCCGAGGTGTTTATGACCTCAAGTCGCCACGTCTATGGCTCACAACCTCGCTCAGAGGTGTACGTAACATCACATCTCAGGTCGCTCATCACTTGGTGTGCTAACTTCCCTCAGGACGCTGTCTCAATGGAGACGTTGGCAGACCTAGGGGCCGGCGAGGCCGGGCTATTGTGAGGCCGGGTACGTCGTCCAGCATCAAGATATGCCTATATTGTGTGCTCACTGTTCGTTCAGGGATTACTGTTACCCAATCATCTGTACTTGTACTATTCTCGTGATTTTCTTTCTCTGTGAGACGGTCAATGTGCCCCCAGCGAAGCCCTTACAAGAGTTGCACTTCCAGATACCAACAGCCTGACATTTTACTGAGCGAGAACAGGATTGGTGATACAATACATGCGCTCTATCATTCTACTTCGCGGTCCGACAAGAAACCTCCGTCGTTCACGTTGCCGAGGGGTCACCAGTGCCGTCATCCGTTGGTGTGGTGTTCTCTCCAAACCCAGGCGGATCGGGGTGCTTCATCCAGTCGCCTAGAAACCTGCTGTCAGTCTCCTTCATCCTCTCGTACCATTCTATGTTGACCCCAAAGTTGAAAGGCGCGTAACCGGGGATCTTGTCACTAGAACGTCCGGTGTCGCGTACACGTTCGACCATCATCCGGAGCGACTTGGGATGCAGGGAGCTGTTATGGATCTCCGCCAGTTCGCGGTGTATTTTTGTCAACTACAAAACATTTGTGAGCGCATAATCTACATATGTCTTGAAAGACAAGCACATACCTCATTGGATCGCCAGTTTGGTCTAATCACCTCAAAAAAGCTCAACTTTGCCAGCTGCGAATCAGATTTCCCCGTTATCCCGGCCTTCTCAGCCATCTGACGTCGCCATTCCGTAACAGCGTCTTCGTTGCTATCGTCCTCAGGCCCGCTCGCTTCATCAGACATCAAGTCCGCCGTAACGAGGTGTCCTGGGTCAACACCATGTAATTCCAGGTACCTCGGAGCGACGCTGTAAAGATTGTCGCTTTTCTGATGATGTTTATGTAGTGCAGTTAACGAATCATTTACAAGCCAACAGTACGTACCTTATTGCGCCGATTTTGCCATCGTGATGCTCGCTCATTTTTTTTGCGCTGGCGTGCCTTTTCTTGATCGACCTGGCTGTTGTACGCCGCTCGGAATCCCCGGAAGCTGGTCTTCGCGCATTCACGCAGTAGGGAATACGTCAGTTTGACGTTCGGGGCATTCATCCATGTCGCATGGATGACGGAGTGGTTCTGGTGAGCCGCCGATTAAAGTTTGAAAGCGCATCATCAAGTCACAAAAATGGGTCAGTGCTCTCGCACAACTAGCGCACGATTTTATACTGATCACTTACCTTCAACTGTTGCATGGAGACCTCAGCAACCCGGACGAGTAGGTCAGGGTTGACAGACTCATCAACCCGCGCCTCAAAATTCACTGCCATCCCCGGCATCTGTTGCCCCCACTTGGGCCATTTATCGTGCTTGCTAACACCCGTAACCAGGCGGAATTGCTGTCCTACGATATTCTGCAATGTCGCGCGAAGGTGAGCACATGTCACTCGCTAACTTCCGTGTATTATTTCCTAGAATAACTCGCTTGGACGCGCACACGCGTCTGCTCCGGCCTCCCTCATGGCGATCACCTGGTTCTCTCGCACGCGTTCCAAGGAAGGTCTGCAGACGTCTATGCCCTGACGGACCACGTCGAGGCGACACTTCACATGCGGCGGGGCAGATTTGTGCCAGCAGGGATGTGTACACTCGTCGCGCTCCTAGCGGAGTATCTGGACGTGAGGGGAACAAGTGGAGGACGCATACAGTGGCCGTCTTGCCCACGAGACGGTGCAAACAAAGGGAACACAGTTTGTATGATGAGGCAGGAATCTACTTACTAACACAATTCGCCGTGCCTGTCGCTGCACGAGATCTAGGTCTTCATGTCTGGTCTTCAACAAACTGAGTGGATCGGATTCATCCTTCACGGCTAAGGGGTCTGGCGCGTATGGCGCGTCGTCCACTTTGTTGTTCTCCGTTGCAACATTCCGGCCAGGGTTACGATGCGCAAGGCCGCCGCGCGCCGCATAGAGGGGGTTTCGGTGACCGCGTGCAAGGGCAATGGGCGCCGAGTGGACAGGTGAGGATGTTTCTAACTCAGTATCCTCTTCTAGAAGCTGAGGATCGATGGTCGGGCTGCTTGATGCATGTTCCGGTTGTCCAGTCTCCGATAGACGGTGACGGTGTCCATCGGAACTGCACTTCAGTTGAGTATATGCGTACTAATAATATCTTAAAAAATCCTCGCCACTCACAGAGACATATCTAACATTAATGAGGTATTGCGACGCTCGCGCGCTCCCCTCTGGGTGGTATGCAGGCTGTGGACACAACATTAGTAGGTGGTGATCACCTATATGCATCGCATATATTCATATGGCTCACCGTACGCTCCCTCTGTGAGATTCCCCCCCTTCCCTGGGCCCTTCTCCATCAACGCGCGCCACAGAGAATGGCTGCCCTTGCGGCGGAGGCATGCCCGTCTGGATTGTGGTCGGGGTCCCATGGTGAGCGCTAGTACCCACCCTGCCGGCCTCGCTAATATTCCTCTGCAATAGTGCTTGCTTGAGATAGTCGGGTATTTGGTCCCAGGTCTCCCGAATATTCGGGTCGCTGATATATTCGGGGCAGACGTCCATTATTGGTGAGGCAGGCGGGAGCGGTGGGCGGGAGCAGTGGGCGGGCGCAATACCAGCACGGGCGGCTAGTACGCGCCGCGATTCGGTGGCGTGAGCGTGTTCTTTGCTCCTGTTTGTACCCGATATATATAGCCTATAATAGAATCAACCTGGTTTGTTATTCATAGTAGACTGCCTTAGTAGCTTGCATGTGTACTAGGCAATACTACATGATATATAGCAAGCTTCTTGCATATTCGACTCGCTCATGTGTTTCAGTCTCGAACAGGGGAGGAATACGACCCTTCGAATAGTCCATCTATTCGAACCTCGAACAGTGGACGTGTACGACCCCTCAAATATGCCCTGCGTTTCAACTTGGACTCGGACGTCTATTGATACTTCGATTACGTGATTTGTTTCAATACCAAATTTGGTTCGATAAACCATCTACTCACAGCTGTTCTCAGTTGCTACAAGTTCTAATGGCCCACTAGTTAGTCCTCCGACCACACTCCGATTACACACCTATTTACCGTTGCTCACCTTCGAACCAGCAGGCCCTTAAACGCGGTGAGTACTCGTCATCGCCGCAATCATCTCCTAGGAATCTCACTACATACATCATTGCAGACATTGTGGACCGCCTCGACACTTCTCGGTACAGCAACGCCGCGAAATCGCAACTGCAGCAACGTTGGATGCGCAGAACATGCACAAACCAGGTGGTGAATGCTGAACAATACAGTATATGGTCATTTTGTGCCAAAGTACACGGGATACGGATCTCGACCATCGTCACGACCTATATCTCACCACATCGCAGACACCCAACCAGGAAAGCACGCAAACGCCCCCCACGACATGGTGAAATCGTGATGCGGAACGAGAAACCAAAAGCGAGCGCATCCGCTTCACGGCATCCAAGGCACCGAGTGTGCTATGCGATGCACGCTGCGCCCATGGTCGCCCCCATACCGCACAGGAACCACGCGTCCTCCGCGATGTGCAAGTACTGCCTCCCAGACCTGAATGCGATACGGGGACGGGGTGGGAGACGCCTTCTCTCGCCGGAGCCACGGTTGATGTCGGCGAACGCGGGGTGGATCATCGCGATCTTGTCCTGGACGTAGCCGAGGAAGGCAAACCCTGATTGTCTCGTCGTGGACATCATTTGATCTGCATGCAATGATAGCATAGATGCGAATTAGCTCGTAGGGTAAAGGACGTGCAGTGTACGTAGACGACAGGGGGTGCGTAGCGAGTACGACCACCCATGAACGCTGCCCGTCGGCGGCGGTGTGTCACGAGTAGCCTGGCTAAGTCGACATCCTTGACGCGCAGAGATTTCGGCTTTGCGATAGATCTCGAGGGTGCGCGCGTCCAGGAGGACCTGGAGACGGAACGTGTGTTTTCCTGTGTACGAGAACCACTCCATCAGCGACCGACCTTCGACTTGAAACACAAAAGTCCAGACACCGAGCTGAGTTCGACATCCGACTCTGCAAGAACGAGACCAACGGGTGGTTCGAGCAAACAACCGTGCAGCACGGAAAGTTCGGGGGAGGGAAGACAGTCGGGCGGAAGAAGGCGAGAACGAGAGCGTACCTGTTGTGCCTCCTCCAATTAACCGCCCGTGCGCTATCGCCGCAATCTCCCCGTGCGCCACGCCATTCGCGTCCGCTGCCCTGAACGCCCCGCCATATTCGCTGTCGGGCTTCGGTGCTGGGAACGGCCCCCCGACTTCGCGACAGCAGAGCTCCCCAAGCGCACGGAAGCCGGCCAATCGGGCGTCATCTGCGGACAAGGCGCTGGGGCTGCCGTCGCGGTTGAGGGTGTGGATGTCGCGCGAGGTCGCGTACGGGTTCAGGTGGGTGGGTGCGCCGGGAATAGTGGGCGTCGCGACGGGCTGGACACGCGCGGGTGCTGGACGCGGCAGGACGTCGATCGTTGAAGGCGATATGGCGCTGGCTGTTCGCCGAGGGGGGGAAGGCGCGTTTGGCAAGACATGGGATTGCATCCCAACCAGGCGGAGGGTAGACAAAGCAATGCTTCCTAGCCAAAGCAATGCTTCCTAGCCAAAGCAATGCTTCCTAGCTAAAGCAATGCTTCCTAGCTACCGGCGCCATCTACGAGCATGGCCCAAAGCGATGTAGAGGGTCCTGCTCAAAACATAGTCGATGATACTCACAAGCACATCGCACGTGTCGGTACGACGCAAATTGACTGAATGCACGACTCTCACCTTCTACTTGCTCTGACCATGACCTCTCGTGGGTGTCGCATCCGGTTCAGGCAAGTCATAGGTATCCGGTGAAGACAGATATCCCGCAGGCTGATGACAGGGCAGGGCGAATGTGACGGAGCTCCTCGAGGATGGTCGCCTGAGACGGCGAGAGGGGTGACGGGAGCGTGCAGTAGCATATCTTCGGGTGGCAGGATAGATGTACCGCGACGCTGTGAGGGCGTAGCTATGTAGACAGCAGGAGGTACGCCGAGGAATGGCTGACCCGAGCGTACGGAGAGCATGCGCAACACAGCAAAAAGGTAGCATGCTGTAGAGGGAGATGTTGAGAGCTGTAGAGAATAGAGTCGCTGTTCGAATACCAGGACGACAGTAAGCAGTAAGCAGATGGTGGGTGGGAGGCAATGTCCGAGGGAGCACAGAGCGAGGCAGCGCCCAGGCGCTGGCCTGCGGTGTCTGTGGACACTTGTCGCGCTGGCTGTGGACACTTGTCGCGCTGGCTGTGGACACTTGTCGCGCTGGCTGTGGACACTTGTCGCGCTGGCTGTGGCACGCTTTTGTTCATGCGGTGTCCACGCGGGGAGAAACAGGGCCCTTTGAGCGACCCCGCCGTGCTGCGTACCTCGTCTGCCAGTACATTGCCCGCGAACGCCGCACTTCCACTCCGGGGGGTGGTGCAGGGCGCGATCTCGCTCGCTGGTGGCGTGGCTGTCGCTGGACTGACCTTGGGCGGACGCGGCTGTTGCCCGGCCTGCAACGCGGTCTCAGGCATTGCGTAGTTTGTACACTAGTCTGTACGAGTTCTGCACACTGAACGACAGACGGACTTGCAGCAGTTGCGATCTCGCGGCGTTACTGTACTACAGAAGTGCTGAGGCGGTCCACAACGTCCGCAATGATGTAGTCTCGTGACCAGACGTTCGGAGCTTGAATCGGATGCGAAAAACCGGGGGCATCCGAGCTCCTGAACGTCTGGTGGCTTTACCCCCGTGACTCCCCGCTCGGTGACCTGTGGTCACATATCGATCCCATTTGAGGCAGTCCGAACAAGTCGGAGGGCGACTCCAGTGTGCGATGTGGCGGCCTGCTGTTGTAGTTACACCTTGCGAAACCTCCTGTACTGGACACAATGATCTCCTGGATTATCATGTCTGGCTTGCTCTAATATACTCTACATGGCTATTGTTACTCTCTGACTACTGTCCCACGAAGAACACGCCCGCTCATATGCCGTCCTGGAAGCCGCCCGAGAAGCCGCCAAAGCCTCGCGTGGATACAACTCAGAGGCCACACAGCAAAGGCTTGAAGAGACCTTCCGACAGCGCATGGGAGGGAAGGTGCCACACCAGTGGCAGGCGGATGTCTCAGAGGCGCTGTTGGTGGGATTAGACTGGGTGCGCGAGGATCTATAAGCGCCCATGGAGCGGACTACTGTGTACTGCCTATATGAGAGATAGACAGATTGAGTATGGAGGATGTGTAGCAAAGGCTTGTAGATGTCATAGAGACGTACCAGTTAGAGGAGTGTCGACAAAGAGCGGAGTAGGCTCAGCGCGACTCGAAGATAGCGGGGAGATAAGCAGGCAGACGCGCACGAAGGACAAGAGGCAGGGAGGTCACACCGGTCACCGAGCGGGGAGTCACGGGGGTAAAGCCACCAGACGTTCAGGAGCTCGGATGCCCCCGGTTTTTCGCATCCGATTCAAGCTCCGAACGTCTGGTCACGAGACTAGTATCCATGGCCTCATCCACTCTACATTCTCGACAAGTCCTGCATCTCCTGCCTTCCTCCGTATCCGACCTAGTATATATTATTCGTCTACTTAGACTCCTTTCACTAGGGTCTGCAGATACGTATAGCGTCTTGGTCTCTGCACTTCTGCCGTACGATCGCACCCGCACCTTCCCTTGAAAAGTTCCTACTACTCCGTCTCCGCCTTGCTCTATGTCTTCTCCCTCTCGTGACCCAGCTGCATCTCCCTGACCTCTTGTGTCTCACATGGCATGGAGCCCGAGGCTATCACGGCGAGGGACAATGTCTGCTGCATTTCCAACAAATCCAACGTGCGTTACGTGCATATGATGTGGACCCGAACCACTGCAGGCACAGAGTCCCCGAAACTAACTCGAGCCCTCACGTACAGTGATCACTGGAACTCCGGAACACGACTTGGCTCTTTCCCGACAAATTAGAGGCTACCTGCTCCGAATTCGAACTGTGAGTTGCAAATGCTACCTGGGTTGGATGGGACCGGCTTGTATCGTGTGACGATACATGGTATTATGTTATGTCAATGTCTTGACTATGCAATCCGTAAGTCGCCATCAGCTCATTTGTTGTCGCAGAGATACACCGGCGTACAGACCACCCCTATTGACATGTGAACACGATCTACTGCTCGAACTCTACCACCGGAATTGGTCCAGTCGTTACCTCCGGATACCTGTCGTGCGTATACACCTTGAGCTTCTCCCAAGCCTACCAACAATTACAACCATCCGTGCTCTCCACTCTCTCATCGGCCCCGCCATTCCCGCGGCCCTTCCCTTCGCTCCTAACCCTACCGCACTGGCTTTCTACGCAAGTCCTCCATAGCGAAGGACGCTATGGTACTAAGGAAGACAACAACGGGGTGGGGGCGATCGGTGATTGTCGGTGTGTGGGCAGCCAAAGAACAAGAGTGCAGACGTTGTGTTGTCATGTTGTATGGGCGCAGCGGGTGAGTTCTCGTTCGTCCATCTCCTGCACTTTCCTTTTGCGAGTTCCAGACCCAGTGCTTGCGTGCCATCCCATCCCCATCAAGCCGACATGAGAGGGCAGGCTCAGCTCTGCCGTATGGAGTGTCGACTGGGAGCCACGTGTCAGAGACATTTGCTGACACGGGAACGTCAATTCATAGGACGGGTCCCATCTCCACTTTGTCGAGATCGCTCATGCTACGAAGCTCCTGCGACGGCGGGCTGGAGGGTCCCTGTGAGTGTTGAGCGCCATACCATCCCGAACGTCAAGGGCATCCATCTCACCCAGCTGCTGACAGCCAGCGAGGCCATGCAGGTCCTCCTCGCACTCGCCAACTGATTCCTCATAGCCGCCTTCGCCCAACCTCTCACTCAAGGCGGAACGCAAACCTTCGGTGCGGCCTGCAACTAGTCTGTCTTGCGCAATGCCCGAGCTCAAGACCACTGCATCAAAGTAGGCACTTCCCAAATGAGCGGGGTGAGTTCCTCATTTACATTGCATGCCGTCATTATCGAGAAATTAAGCAGACAGTTATAGGTCGGTGCTCCTAAGTCCTAGGTGCTCTCGTCAAGCTATGCATCACACCCGCTTGGAGGATGCCAACTGCTCGCGCTTTCCAAAGAGGCCTGGAGCAGAGGTTCACTTGGTGGAGTACGCCTTACGATGGATGCTGTATGCTGTCGATTGGGCTATCACATCTTTCAGTTTACCTTGTAGCTGTGATTTCTTTGCTATCCGGCTGCGCAAACTGCATGCCCTCGTCAGCCATCACTGGAAAAGCTTCTTATTATACATAGTACAATTTCTTTGGGCAATTTCTCCGTTCGAAAACGTTCTTGGGCCTCTAGGTCATGCTGCCGCAGATCAACTCAATGCGCGCAAGACTGCACGGGAACTATCCGCTGGCGATCGCAGCCTTGACGTTCCCATCCCCACGCTCCAGTCACGGCCCCCGTCCCAGAGTCCCGTGCATTCCCTTTCATGAAGCTCTCGCATCTGCTCTGCTCCGCCAAGAGCCTCTCAGATGACTTCATGTCTCGGTACCATGCCTCTGAGTGTAAACTGTCTGCTTCACACGGCGACGATTGTGGCTCCAGAAAGCATGCATACGTAGCTAGTCAAAAGGTACGCAGCCATCATGCAGTCCCGAAACGTTGTCCTGACCAGACCTCTGGTATGCAGGCACACTCCCGCTCCGCTCATGCACTTTCCACATCCTTGTTTCTGGGATATGAACGTCTCACATAGCATTTCCGCAACCCAGCGGTTTGGATGACGTCGAATCTAGGGAGACGTCCGTTCGGTGCGCAAGCTTTCTCCTCATACAACTGCGCTATCGTTGATATGACTGAATGGTTCGCTATGGCTATGTCATACGACAAGGCACTGACTTCTGGGGTATGTCGTGTGCTCCATACAGTGTCCGGTTGTCCCTAACGTCTTCCCGGCTTATCTTGTACAAGTCCCGCCAAATCGCACGCGCAGGCCGCACAGTATCCGCCCGTCCAGTGCGGTGGACCGTGGCGCCCCGCTTGAAGACACCATCATATATCATTCCCATATGCACTCCCGCAAACCGTCGCCCCTCCCTCTCACAACACCCGCACGATGACATTTGCGACCCTCCGTGCCCTCCATGCCGTCATCGGCGACGCCATCTCCGACATCGAATCGACCTATGGAGCGCACGAGCTCGACTTCCCCTCGCTCGACGTGCCCTACTACGCTAACACGTCTCTGACCACGATGGACCAGCAGAGAGCAGAGGAGTTGAGAGGGGACCCTGTAGTATTTGGAGCCGCGAACACGATTGTCGCCGCTTGCGGGCAGCTTGCGGCGGTGGTGCATAAGCCATTCTTTTCGTTGGTCGAGGGGGCACAAGGGGTAGGTGTCCTCATTCGTCGAGTTCTTAATTGAGTTCTTGACTTTCCTTCTGTTTTCGATATTGCATATCCTTGTCATCGATACTGTGCCTATCGTATTCATTCGGGTCATGCACCCGACGATTGAAGTCTACAGAAGCAGGACGCTCGCTGACATGAAACTGCGATCCACAGGGTAACCTCATTGCATGTCTTCAATTCCTTGAAAACACCCACACCGTTGAGATCCTCCGCGAAGCGGGCCCGCAAGGGCTGCACGTCAAGGACCTTGCCGCTCGCATAACCGACGTCCGCCGCGGTGCTAACCCGAACGTCAGAGATATCGACCACACGAAGATCAGTACGTCTCCCTTATGTTGCTCGTTGCATAGAGGAGCCCGAGCTTACTGTATACATGTAATGAACAACGTGAACAGGCCACGTCCTGCGGCTGCTCGCGACGTATCACTGGCTGCAAGAAGTGCGCCCCGACGTGTTTGCGAACAACCGCCTATCCTCGTTCATCGACTCAGGGAAATCTACTGCCCAGATTAGATCCTCGTAAGTGTCTTGTCCCCTGTCTAGTATGGATACTGCTCACCTGGGGTGTGGGGTACGCCGTACGCATATGCAACAGGCCAGGGACAAAGTACGATGAGACGGACGGCGTTGCGGCCTTCACGGCCACCTCTGGCGATGAAGTCATGAAGATCCATTCTGTGCTCGCCGACTGGCTGCTCACAGATGGCGGCTTTGGAGAGAAGATGTACGCCAGTCCGTTCAATCTCGCGTTCAAGACGGATCTCAAGTACTACGAGTGGCTCGAGGAGCCGGGGAACGAGGCGCGACTGGCGCGGTTTGGTCATTCGATGAACGGGACGAGGTATTGGGAGCTGGCGGAGAACATCATTTATGGTGCGTACCTGCCTCTTTGCTTTGTGTTCTGCCTCCCTTCGTATCTGGAGGCACTGTGTTGCCCAGTTCCGCGGTCCGAGACTTAGGGACTCTAGGCTCGGGATCTATACTTCGGACATCATATGATGCAATTCTGCGGTATCATTTAAACCACAGCACACTGATCGGCTTGGCATGCGACTATTTTGCAGGTTTTCCCTGGCATGAGCTCCCGCGAGATTCTGTCGTGGTCGACATTGGCGGCGGGATCGGGTCCGTGTCTGTCATCCTCGCGGAAGCATACCCGCATCTACGTTTCGTAGTCGAGGACCGGGCGCCGGTCGTGGCGATCGCTCAGCAGGTGCGCCTTTACCTTTGCTTCTCCATTCGTTATGCTCAGTCCGAAGTGTCTGCTGTAAATGCTACTTATCCGCTTGCTGCGTACACGTTGGACAGTCCTGGGGAAACAAGCACACTGATCTCTTCTCCTCGGGACGGGTCTCCTACCACACGCAAGATTTCTTCGCGCCTCGCGAATCCTTCGAAGTCCCAGGCCTCGGTACTATCTCCCAGCCGACGGTGTTCCTCCTCCGCGCCGTCGCCCACAACTGGCCGGATGAATACGTTGTCAGGTGCGTCCTTCTCGCATTGTTCCAGGCCAAATATTGACAAATACTGGTAACTGACAACTGCAGGATCCTGAAACACCTACGCGCGGCTGCCGGAGAGCACACGAAGCTTCTCATTGTCGACAATCTCCTCACGTTTGCCTGTTTTGACGAAGACAGCAGCGCAGATATGCGTTCCCTTGTACCCGAGGGCTCTCCGCTCCTCCCCAATCTCGGACGAGCAAGCACCAATGCGTATATCCTTGACGTTTCGGTAAGATAGATTATGCTCTCTGGCGGAGAAAAGGGGGGGCTGATATCAGTGTTTTCGTAGATGATGGGGATATTCTCGGCGAAGGAACGGACTTACCGCGAGATGGACGCGCTGATGCAGAATGCGGGGTGGATGATTGAACGCGTGAAGCGGGCGGTGGGCTCGTTATGGGCATACACGACTGCCACCCCCGTCTAGAGTGTAACGAGATGGTTTGCGACGATGGAAGGCAACATGAGTGACTTTCAGGGGGGTAATGCCGAGCCTGTAGGATATGCACATGCATGACACAATTGAAGAAGCACGCTCGCAGCCCGTTATGTCCGGCAGCATCGCTCACAGCTGCATGAGCTGCTCCACCTCTATGCTAGCCCTGACACCCCACAGCGCATGGAAAAGGTCCAGGCCGTTCGGCACCATCCCGCTTGGATCCCAGCGCACTGGGTCCACATTGCAAGCTCAAAAGATCAAGCCATGGACGACGATGAAGAATGGGCGAGACGACACAAGATACTGGTATACACAGATGGTTCGCAGAAGCGCGGCAAGGTTGGTGCTTCGGCGGTGCTACTGAGGGCGGGGTCCTCCCGAACCAAGACCCTCTTCTACCACCTCGGGTCCGACAAGCACCATGGGATCTACGAGGCGGAGATTATAGGTTCTATTTTAGGTACACAGCTGCTACGGAAGGAACGCCAGGCCGTGCACAACCCCTCAGTTGCACTTGACAACAAGTCCTCAATAGAGGCGTCAACCCAGATACGTCCGAGACCCAGCCACTATCTCACTGACTAC